AGATCTGATGATTATCATAATGTAAATAAAGAAGATATGATATTCATTTTAAACCTAGTAATTTTAAAATTGGTGATTTAGTAATGTATGAAGAATTTCAATACCCTAATACACATAAATTATCTCCTCCATTCTCAGGACCTTATAAAATTTTAAAACAATATTCTGAAGTTACTTATGAAATAGATAAACCTAATCCTTTAACTAAAAAATCAGAAATTGTTCATTCAACTAGATTAAGACCTTTTAATCCAGCAAGTGAGTTTAAGTTAACTGTCAGAAATAGTAGAATTCCTATCTCTGTTCAAAATTAAAATTAATTTTTTCAAAATTCTCTTTTAGAATTTTCTGATTATGACTTTTAAATACCTTTAGACTTAAAACCCAAAGTTAACAGAGACAAGTTATTATTAATTCCCGAAACTTACTTTTTCCCTACTATGACAAATTATTCTCCGATCTTGACCTTTTATATTTTTCACATAATTGAATTATTTTGTAGTAAAATTTTCTTCTTATTGTAGGATAATATTTGTTTCTAATTTACAACAATTATAAAAAACCTTTAACTTGATTATACAAGTTATCTGTCCTTATAATTTTTTTTATATGATTTCACCACTAAATGTCAATGCCAAATTTTTATTAGGCAAGTTTTCGATATTTTATAGCACCCCCAACCATCAGCATAATCCCTTCTTTGGCGAACATGCCATTTAAATATGTTTGTTTTTAAAATATTTTCTAATCAAAGCTTACTATTATGAAAACATACTCAGCGAAAAAAATGCATCATATTTGTGGACTATCTGGCATTGAGAGGTTTTACCAGATATTTTCATTCTATTCGAACTCTTTTTATGAAAAGGACTTTCAAAAAACAAAATGGACATTTTAACAAAATTGAGAACTTTTGTAATTATAACTTATTTATTTATCAGTATTCCATATTTATTATGTTATAGTTTTAAAATTAGTCATATATTGTATATGTATTTATAACTCATAGTTTTAATGTTCAAAATTTCATATGCTATAAAGTCCAAATTTTATATGAGAAAGTCATAAACTATGATAGGCCATAGTTAAAGCTTGTACGCTATGTCCTGGATGTTTTCATGTCTTTTCTCATACTTTTGCTTTACTCCTGTACTAATGCTTTTCTCACCAAGGCCTCTCCTTTTGACGGGGGGGGGGGAGATGTAGATGTAAAATAAAAAAAAAAAAATATGATGGCTTTGCTCTTTGCGAACCAGCAACCTTTAATTAATTTTCTGCAATTCAGGATCTTCCCCTACACCAGTACCTTCTAGAACATTCGCGCCTATTGCATAACCTCCTCATATAAATGCTGCGTCATAAGTCTTTCTACATTTTTCTAGAAGCTACTCTGTTACATAACCTTTCATATAAATGCTGCGTCATAAGTTCTCCTACACAGATGCCTTCTCGCCTTCATTCGGCTAATGCCTCCGCTATGCTCTTCTTTCTTTGTTAGAATCCTCATTAATTTTGCTATTGCTTTGCTACTTTATCAGTTCTATTTCTAGGTTCATGATGTCGTCTTCTTTTGATTTTTTCTTTATAAAATTCCATTTAAATTTCATCACTTCAATTTAGCTTATCATTTAGTTAGCGGAGAAGATAACTTACTTTATTCTATTATCTTCAAGCTCTAATAAATTAATTTTTAAAAATTTTCTTCAGGGGAAAAAAATTACATTTCACTTGAGCTAACATGTTTATTCACAGTTTCTGTGACTCACTTGATAAGCTAACTACTTTATTTTAAACTTTTTTTTTTTTTTAAATAACCACAGGTTTAAGGGATTCAAAGCTGCCTAGACAAGTCAAGATGTATGATTCAATATAATAAATTTGTACTGTGGATTTCATTAGCTGTTATTTCTTTGTTAATCCTCAAACTTTTATTCCATCACCAAAGTCTTTAATAATGTTAGGTTTGCATTCAAACATAAATATTTTCCTTTTCTTTCTACATGCAGAAAAATCGCTATTATTTCATTTAGATGACATAGTTACTTAACTTAATAAGCATAACACAAAACAGCTCCCAAATCCATCATTTGTACAATCCTGCTCTGAAGAAAAGAACCCTGGAACTATTGAAGAGTTGTAATTTCAGTCATTCCATTGAAAAAAAGATGGAGGTGGAATAAAAAATGGTTAGAAATGTTAGTTTGGGGAAAAAATCAATTTTGGATTACTAAAATTTGAAATGCAGAAGAGATCAGCATTATTGTTTATCCAATGATGACACAAAGAAAATTGAGAAATTTGCACCACATGCTCCAAACCAGAAATTGGTTCATCAAGAGCTGGCCTAAAAGAAAATTATCTTGATTGACTTTTCATTTCTAGCATTCCTTTCCGCAAGAGAACTAATTATAGAAGTGAAAATCATGCATGAACTTCTTATGAAACACACTGTTACCTATTGCTGCAAGTACAAAGTTGATTAGTGTGTGCGTAGTGATCTGAATGGTGGGCAAGGGAGGAAAAAAAGGAACCACAAAGCTTCAACTCTGCAAAAGTTGGAGTATTATTATTGTATATATGTTTGCTTAAGTTACTGTAGATAGATAGTATGGGGCGAACCATCCTATATAGTTATATTTGAAGAGCTTTCTTTCTCATTTGCTCATCGGCAGCACAGTCATAAGAGTGATAGAATCACTGAACAGTGATAATTTGACTTTAATTTGGTTTTAAGTCCTTGTGAATGGTCTGCCTGCATGACAGTTTTCATATTTTTCTTCATTTCTAGCATGAATATGAGCCAGTTTTCCGTAAAACATCTCTGCACTTAGGTAATGCACTTCATCTCTGCACTTCAAATGCTTTGCCATAGTTTAAATAATCCATTCCAGTCCTTTCTTCTCCACCACAAGTTAAATGTGTTGGAATGAATAAATGTTAAATAAAATGGTTGTAGGCGTAAATGGGGTAATACTGTTTTTATTTGCTTATTTTCTCCTTTTTTGTCTTTACTGCTTGAAATTCAATATAATTACTATGTCATAGCTGCCAACTCTTCTGGTTTTTCATCATGTCTCCCAGTGTCTTTGTAGATCGCCAAATCTCTCAATTTTTTATTCTTACCCTTCACCAAGGAAAAATTTTACTAGCCATAAAGGAAATTTATACCCACACAACTATACAAGTGCACTAATTATTAATTTTATTTTCGTTGCATTTAAAAGTATTTTAATAAATAAAACTATTCAGGGTTTTCTCTGACTAAAAGTGTAAGAAAATTATAAAATAAAATTAGGTTAAAAATATAAACTTTATTAATTACTATTTAGTTAAGTATTGGTATATTTTATACAAAAAAAATATTATAAATAGTTCAGTAACTTGAATCTTGCATTATAAGGTCAATTTAGAGTATTGAAATGACATAACCACGCAGCCTCGAAACTCCCGCTTTTCCAGATTTCAAAGTTGGCAGCTGTGTGGTGTGTACTAGTTCCAAGGACCTATTTATGTAATTAGAAAGCCTATTTTAATTTAATACATTAATATGTATTTCAGTCATTTCAATATTATTCTGTATTCTTTATTATTATTTCTACATGGTACATTTCTACCCATCCTGTGATAACCACCTTATTCATGATTTGGGAAGTTAGCTGATTTGAGCTTGAGTTTGAATCCAGAAGAATCACAGAATTGATTTATTGTCCATTCCTATCTTTGCCAAATGGGCAATCAGTCACCTCCTGTGGTGTACCCTGAGCAGTATTAGCTACTTAGCCATTTTTGAACTGGAAGAAATATACACTCTTGTGAAGTACAAAGACTTTTTTTTTGGGAGGGGGGTTTTTATTAGCACTTCCAAGAGTGGTATCATTATTATCAGTGCTCCCCCTTTTTTTTTTCCTTTTATCATCTTCGTGGGAAGTGGATTAAATGACTCTAATAATGGAAGTTTAGTTAACAGCCTTAAAATGCATATGCAGACATGGCAATGTGAAAAATTTCAGAAACTATTCTTTTTTATTATTCTTATTCTTAAGTGTACTTCTTCAGCTCAAGAAATCAGTTGAAAATAATGCAAAAAATCAAGTTTCTAAATCAGAGGTTCTCAACTAGGGGCAGTTTCATTGTTTTGGGAGGGATGCAAACAGTCTTTCATTTAGCTGTTAAGTATTTAGTTTTAAGTTATGAATATAAAAACTGCTTTTATTCAAGTTTTGGTATATTTATCAACATTTTCTATATTTTTTATTGTTTAATTTATAAAAGCACACTAAAAATAAGAGAAGGGGGAACGATTTAACCATAGTAAAAAAAGTGCATGGGGCAAAAAAGGACCACCGCTCTAAATCACTGACATGAAAGAGAACTATATGATAGTGGAGGCAGCACGCAAGTTGTTTCCTGTGTAAAAAGCATCATAAGCATCATGAAAACTATGATGCTTTTTACACAGAGAAACATAAGCAAATGAAAACCATGATAAAAAGTTTCATGGTTTTCATTTGCTAATAAAGGATGCTTGATTTTTAATTTTGTTAGCTTTTACCACAAAATTGTGTAAGTTCATTTTAATGATTTTATATTTTCTTCCCTTTTTTATATAAATAAAGTCACAAAATTCAAAGCTAGTGGAGGCAGCATGCAAGATGTTTCTTTGTGTAAAAAGCATCATGGTTTTCATGATGCTTTTATGCAGAGAAACATAGCAAATGAAAACCATGATCAAAAGTTTCATTTTCAATTAAAGGATGCGTGATTTTGTTAACTTTTACCATAAAATTGTGTAAGTTCATATTAATGATTTTTTATTTTCTTCCCTTTTTTATATGAATAAAGTCACAAAATCCAAATTGGTCTTGAGGACATTTTGAAAACATTATATTTAGATAAAAATCATTTCAGCAGCTGAAAATTTTCTTAAAATATTCATATCTGCATATGCATTTGTATAAAATAATATATTTGCTAATTTAACGTTTTTCCCCCTCCTTTAGTGGGAAAAAGTGTCATTCTGTGGTCAAAGAGTCACCGATTGGGATAAGTGTTGTCAAGCTTTGAAGAAGCATTGCACAAAATCTTTGGTAAAAAGAAATTATTAAACTTATAAAAGTTAAATATATATAATATATCGTGCTTTAAATTACATTTCTTTTCTTTGATGTATGCAGGATTTATGTGGTATTATACTCGAAGATTCATCAGATCCATGGGAAGATCTTGAGCGAAACGTAGTTCATCTGGGAGAAGTTGAAGAATTATCATTTGACAAAGTTTCACCTTCTCTGGTCATCAGTGTAGCAAACAATATGCCTCGCTTGCGCATATTAGAGTGCCCATTTGTTACTGTTAGTTTTACAGAACCTGAAATGTGGTATGAACTTATTTTATATTCTTTTACTTGTACTAGAGGGTTATTCTATTTACATGTGTATTTATTTATCTTCATCATTTAAGTATAAGCATATAAAAATATCATTATGGAGATAACATTTTAAGCTCTTTTTATGATACAGTTTTTTGTTGTAGAAAAAGAAGAGTGAACAACAGTTCAGTGCTCTTTTTCTTCAGTTTGAAACAAATCTGTTCAATTTGTTCAGAAGTTGAAGAAATGTTCATGTGAAACAAAATATATCTTAATTTAAGTTTCACAAATAACTAAATATATGCTTCTTTAGAATCTTATGATATAACTGCCATTGTTTATTTAAATAATTAATACATCATATGTACTGATTGAAATTTGGAACCAAAAATACATTGTGAGTATTCAGTATTTTTTTAAATGTTGTACCGGAATACTGGTTTAAAAATTTTTCAAAAAAGTACAGAATACAGTTGTTTCTTTGCTTATTTATTAGTTTTATACAAAAAATGTGTAAATTATAAAAATATAAACAATTTTGTTATGTATGAATATAAAATAAAGGAAGAAAAATTGTAATCAAATGTTATTAATAAGAGCAGTAAGATAATAATTTATAACATTAAAAACAAAAAATGTATACAAAATAAAACATTACTGTATTACAATACAATAAAACAGCAAAATTTTATGATATTATTATTATTATGAAGAAAAAGAAATATCACATAAAAATCTTGTTGTTTTTTCTATGGCACTGTTCCAAAAGTTTATAAAACTCAAGTACTATATTATGTGTTTTTAAAAATTGAAAAGAACCACATCAAGCACCAAGCAAGAATTACATCTGATTTGCATTTCAGTAAATTGTTGACTAAAATAGCAATTTGTGTTTTAGAAAAAATAAAAACACAGAAGAATATCTGTCCCAAAAGTTCATAGAATATTAACATTTTAATAACTTGCGATCAATTTCAAATTATGTAATACTTCAAAGTCGCCCCATTATTCTGTATGACGTCGAATATGTGTTTCGCCATCGAGAGAACTAAGTTTTATAACTCTGGTTCCACACTGTACCACGCATTCTTAATGGTTGTTTATAAGGCATTCATGAAGAAAACTGCCTTCCATTCTCGTAAGCTCTGCGAGACATAATGCCTCACACTTTCTTGATCGGGTCAAAATCGAGGCTGATTGGTGGCCACTCAAGAACAGTGATCTTTTCTACATGTAAATAATTTTTTTCAGTGTTAAAGGTACAAATGGGAGCATTGTTATGCTGGTATACCCAATTCTGTCCTCCAGTGTTTTCTGCAAATGACATAAGATGGTCTCTTAATGTTTCTGTGTATTTAGATGAATCTTGCTGACCATCTAGGAAATGAAACCCACGTGAAACCAAAAGCTGCCTACTCCAAAACAGATCCAGTTCCACTTTCCTACTAAAATAGTTCTGAGGCTGTTTTCATGACTTATAAATAGCAGTAATATGAATACTCATCAGGAATATCTAGATTACTTTTTTTTTTTTAATCACTGAAAATTTTAGACAAATCCATTTGTCACCATTTGCTATGTGTTTATGGGCCTATTACAATGTCATTTGTTTGTGAAATTTTAAGAGCAGTAATGATCGAGCCATTTTTGCGTGAATCATATAACCAGATTCCTTGATTAACCTATGAACAGTATTTGTGGTTATTAGCAATCCACTAGGCCTTGTAATTTGGCGAATCGACTTTTTCTGTAATGAAGCCATTCTTTGTATCAGCCTATTGCTATGACTATCCATCACTTGGGGTCTTCCTTAACATAATTTTGGCTGATATGGCATCTCACAAGATATTACAGGATAAATCATGCTTACAGATCGATTCAGAAGTTTTAAAAAAAATTTTAAAGACCTACTGTCCAATTTAAAATTTAGAATCCTATTAACTTCACCATCAGAAAGTTATGTAGCTGTAGGCATAATTAAATGCAGTTCAGATGATCTTTTTTCTTTTTTAAACTGGATGTTTGAATGAAGGCATTATCATATAAAAGGGTGAAGTTCCCCCATCATGATAGTTGCTAACCAATTTGCATAGAATTATGTTTGTCTATAAACTTTTGAGATACACAACGTTTTCTATTTTTATTTTTTCAATACAAGTTGAGAGTTTTGTTAAATATTTACTCAAATATAAGGCACATGTGTTTTAAATAAGCATATTTTAATTGGGTAATTTTATACATTTCTATTTTTCTTAAGCATGTGATTTGCTGGAGTCTCTTTTGGGACAGAGTGTATATAATATCTTTAATTAAGAAGAAAAAAAAAAAAAAACTAGTTTATTAACTTCATAGTTTTTAAATAATCATTAAAAAGTAATGCATTTTTGTATGCAAATTACCTGCAGTTGAAAATGCTATTTCTGCATCCATGCTGGTTGGTGATACTGTTAATAATGAGTTTTATACTTCCTCAAAATATTTCCCTTGAAATCGTACATCATCTAACAATCTGGTTTCTTGCCTGATGGGTTTGGATAAATTGTGGGTAAATCTACTTTTTATCTTACCCTTGCATTATTTTTTGTGGTAGTTTTTTTTATTTATTGTAATTTCTCAAGAGACAATTCTTTTCTGATATTATCATCATCTTCAACAAATTTCCTCTGGATATGTTTGTATTAAATGTTTTTGTTGCAATTTAAGATAATTAAATTTGACTTTGTTAGTCTATTTTCTTCCTTTTTATTTTCTTTTTAAAAGTCATTATAAATTATATTTTAAATAACTTAACATATTGTCTAGTTTACCGTGCCTTTCCTCTATACGAATTTTCAGCACGTGATGAAAAATATGGAGGAAAAAATATATATTTCAAATAGCAGTAAGATGCCAAATAAGTTAAACTCTTTAATTAAAAACATATTTGTTGCTAATACCAAAAATACTGGTATTTTAAGGTAGCAAATGCTTGTTTCAGAAAATAGCATGAAATATCAGTATTCGTACTGGTATTGCAATCACTAATCATAAACCTGGCGCATGCAACAAGTTGTTTTGTGTGAACAAATTTGGGTATATTTTCTTTGTAGAAATCCTTGATTATTTGAATACCCGACTTTAATTATTTTTTGTTATCCATTATTGAATATTGGAAGACATTCTGGGTTATTCTTATTTCAAAACAAACTGTAGGTAAGAAATTAAATAATCTTTAATGCAGAATGCCAAACGTACTAAATTTTAAGTAAGGTCTAACCGATAAAAAAAACTTTACGAGTGCCATTTTATGTCAGCCATCTATTTACAATATTTCTTATTCTTTTTTCGAAGATTGAAATTTTTAATTTGATATCTATATTTGGAAAAAAAAATGCATGTATGTAAAAAAAAAAAAAATTCTGATGGTGTCACTTTTAAGTGAATAATGACAGTATTTATTTTAAACAGGTTTGTAACCTGTGGACTTGAGTTGTCTTCTCTAAGATTTCTGGGCAGACTTGAGCACCTAAAAATTGGATCTGCTGGTGGCATTGTTTTAAATGGCAGCTCTTTATCCTTAATGCCTTATCTTCCAAATCTGCGGCATGTGGTAAGTAAATTTTTAAAAGAATTTGTTGTGTGATATTTATGAATATTTTCCATATATGTTTATGCTGATATTTATGTAAAGAATAGTACATAATGCTAATGCTTATTAAATTAAAACTAAAGTTGTTACTCAGTTATCTTTCAAGTACCATCTGTCATAGCATACATTTGCTCCAAGGTTTCTGACATAGCTGGAAGCATTCAGAGAATGTCTTTTGAAAGGGGATTGTACCTGTCATAAACTGGCAGTTGAGTCATTTTGGATTACTTGAATTGTATAAAAAAACATTGATATCATTAAACAACCTCAATAAGAGAGAACAGCAAGGTCACAATATGAGAAATCTGACAAAAGATATGGTTGTGAAATGACAAGGGTCTGCTGCTGATTAAAGAAATTGAAGCTTCTTTGTTCAGTATGAAACATTGTGCTAAATAGTCAAAAGATGGTTTAACCCCTTTGCACTAAAGTGTGAAGTACGTTGTTTCAGATGATTTCATTTAATGCATTTCTTTTTTAGAGTGTACATTAATGCCCTCTGATAGTCAAATTAAATTATTTTAAACATCATGCATACACAATTATACTTCAGGTACTTCAAATTTCTTAGTTAAAATATTCACTATTCAAACATTTCTAGTATGTCTTAATAGTAGCAATCTTTTTTATCTCAAGGTTTTAATCAGTTACCTCAAAACTCGGAGAATACTTCATGTAGTTTTTCAACAAATCAAAATCACTCCTCCAGAAATAGTATGAAAGATTATTTAATACACATACCCATGTATATAATTATCATAACTTGTATAGAAACTTGTGTTAACCTCTGATCTTATAAAATATTATTTTCTTTTTTTAAATTTCTTAATTTTCAAGGTTTCATTTGCTTATATGTGCATAGAAAGAAGTGTTAAAGAAATTTAACACATCAACTATTAAAGGGCATATTAACCCTCTGAGTGGCACAGGGTTTTAGATCCATCATGAAGACCAGTATTTAAACAGCGTTTATTAATTTAATTTGTATAATTACTTATTTTATTTTGCATTTTCATAAACTTACATTCATTAAGATGATATTTACATTATTAAAGAAAGTAAGAAAGCAAAATATCTTAAATTATAAGCTAATGTAAGAAAAGCAAACTAACTAAACTTAAAAGGACCTGTGAGGTCAAGAATTTTGTGCATTGAGCTGCAAAATTTGAAATAAAATTAAAAAGTAAATTCTTCGATCTATAGCCTACCAAGTAGCAAAACTTCTGATGACCGGATAAACCCGGTCATAATGCTCAGGTTCACCAGTTAATCATGTGATAAGATTAGATATATTTTAAAAATTAATATTTCTTCTGTTCAAAATTGTGCCTAATAGAGATTAAATTAAAACCTCTAATGAGAATATTTACATGTTTCTGAAATGTTTCCATCAAAAATAACTTAATAACTTTAAAAAATATATACAGGAGGAACTTATAGTTTTTAAATGTTACCTGACGAGGTAGTTTACGTGTTTAGCAATTAATATACGTATACTCTTTTAATAGGTTTTAAATATATTATTTTAATAATCATTTGCAAACTACAAGAAATACTCAGTTAGCTTTTTCATAAGGGTTATTAGTTTCATAGGGGAAGAACATAGTTTTCTTGATTGTACTTTAAGTGATCTTAATATTTTCCCATCAAAATTTTAGTGACCTTTTTTATTTCTTCTGAAATATGTCTGAAGAAGAAGCATATTCCTGTTTAAATTTTAATGCAGCTTTGCATTTTATTTCTTAAGCTCTCTTTTAATATTTAGGCATTGACCGGATTCAAGTTTTATTCAACTGGAAATCTTGAATGTTTAGCTCAGATGCAACAGTTAATATCTTTAGAGTTGGGCGACTGTGCTGGTATTGAACCTGGAATAAGTTTATTTACTTTTACAATTGATTTAGCTATAACATTTTAATATTAATTTTTATTAGGTTATTTTCTGTTGAAAAATCTTTGATATTCATTATTATTATCAGAAAATAAACGCTCTTATTTTCTGATAATATTAATGAATTTTTTGGTTCATTATTTTAACTGCAGATTTTAAAATGGTTTAAAAATTATCCACGTATTCTTTTTTACTTTAATAAGTTTTTATTTACATAAAATGTATAATTAATAATTACTTAATATTCCTGCTAAAAATAGGTCTATTAAGTAGATAAAATAATCCCTTTTGCATAATTTAAAAAATATTTTATGTTTAATTTTCATTGTAATTGTTATACACAACTGTTTTTGTTCTGGTGTTAATTTGTAAATTTAAATAAGTGAATTCATTTTAATATACAGTGCTTAGGAATTAATTATAGTGTACTTTCATAAATGAATGAAAATTAGTGTCTATTATTTCTTGTAGCATGATTCGTATGCTCTGTAAAACTTTGGAAGGACTAAAACCTTGTTTTCTAAATGCTTAAGTAATGGCTGATCTTTAAAAGTATCTTAATTTCCACAGCATTTTGAATTAAGATGTATAATGCAAAAAGCTAAACTTTCACACAGTTTACCCCTTTCATTAAAATCTATTGTACATAAATTTTGCATAAGAAATAAATTATTTTTATATGTTTTAAGAGATATAGTAGCATCAAGTGATACGTTTGTGTATTCAGCACTTAACAGTATATTCTGGAATAATAAACATGGGTAATAGTTATACTTATTTCAAATTATTTTTATAAAAACCTTTTGTGACTCGTTTCAAGAAAAGATTGAAAGACTTGTTCTACAACATTTTTCTTTGTGGGGAGGGGCAATGCACAATGAAAATCCTTGATGAATTCTACCATAACTGTTTGGAAATAGTTATCATTTGCATTTGTTGGTAGAGAAGGTACTTCAGGTAATGGCCTATCTGGAAATATTCTCTCGATTTTCTATTTGTATTTCAACTTGCAATAGTGATACGAGGGCCATCCAGGAAGTAGATTACGTTTCCGTCTGTGTCCGCTAGGGGCGGGGCTAGCGCGGCCATCTTGGGGTCAGAGCGTTGCGCAGCTCAGTCTGCATCTAGCCGTGCTAGTGAGAGGTTCGTGCTGTGCTCCGTTCAGATACTGTGACGGTTTGAAATGTCTGCGTTAATTGAAAATTCTGCGAGGTGCGCGCAGTAATAAGGTTTTTGACTGCAAAAAACTGTAAACCGATAGAAACTATCGGCAGCTTCGTGAAGTGTATGGGGACAAACATTATCACTGAAGGTGGAGTGCGTCAGTGGGTCATAAGATTTCAAAATGGCCGAACCAATGTTCACGACGAAGATCGAAGTGGGAGACCCAGCATAGTGACCGCCGAACTTCTCGAAAAAGTCGATGCTAAGTCCGTGAAAATCGAAATTTCACAATAACGGAACTTTCTTTGAGTTTTTCCACAATTTTTCGCGAAGTTTGTTGCACGAAATCATCAGCGAAAAGCTTGGTTACCACAAGTTTTTGTGCAAGATGGATTCCAAAATCTTGACAGAGGACACAAAAATCAGCGAATGGCTGCAGCGTTGAACTTTTTGGACGCTTACCCATAAGGATGGTGACTCTTAACTCGATCGATCGCATCGTTACTGGTGACGAAACATGGGTGAAACATGGTGAACTGTGAAACGAAATTGCAATCAATGCAGTGGGGGGCACACAAGTTTTCTCCCCAAAAACCCAAGAAATGCATGCAAACAATTCGGCAAGGAAGTGAATGGCGACTGTTTTTTGGGACAGAAAAAGGTGTAATTTTGGTGAACTTCCTGGAAGAGGCACTACAATAAATCTCAAGGTATTGCCAAACTCTCCCAAAAACTCAGAAGAGCAATTCAAAACAAGCGCAGAGGAATGTTGAGCTCTAAGATCTTGTTGATTCACGACAACGCCCGGCCCCACACGGCAAATGTCACTCGTAAAGTTCTTGAATCTATAAGTGGGAGTTGTTTCCCTCATCCGCCGTACAGTCCCGACCGCACCGAGCGACTTCCCCCTATTCCCAGCATGAAGAAGTGGCTGGCTATGCAGCGTTTTGATGACGACGCACAGCTGCAAGAAAGAGGTAACGAAGTGGTTGAAGGCGCAGGCGGCCCGAATTTTTTCGACGAAAGGAATTTCCCCAAGCTCGTACAATCGCTACGATAAATGCCTTAATTTGTATGGTGACTATGTAGAAAAGTAGTATTTGAGTGTGGCTTTCATCTGTATATAATAAAATTTGTTTCCTATACTTTGTTTATTTTTTTATTCCAAAACGTAATCTACTTTCTGGATAGCCCTCGTATTACTTGGACACACACTCCCTCTATTAATTAAAATATATATTGTCATGTACTAAGAAAATTAAGTTACAGACAGATTATATAGAGAAGTAAATGTGTCAGTGCAGTGACAATGAGAGTAAACTAAATCTGTGGCTACAGTTAACAGCTGTGAGATGCAACAAGTAGTTTCAGCAAAATTTCAGTTTATTTGATCAATGTTTTTTACATATGCTGCAAAATAATCCTGTCCAGCTGTGCTGTGCTTATGTAAACTCTTTTCCTTATCCTCAATACAAGTTTTTATCATTTTTGTAAAACACCATTAGCAATAATAGTGAATTTTTATTTTTTCAGCAATAAATTGAAAGTAATAATTATAAAACTGCAGTTTTAATTGTGAAAATAAAAATGTGACATGGTTCCATATCAGGTGAATATAGAACTTGCAGGAGTATATTTGCTGAATTTTTGCTCTAAATTCTAGAGCAACAAAAACAACAAACAAGTTTAAATATCATGATGCAAAAATTCATGAATTATCACAATTTAGGCTTTTTTATTAATTGCTACCTACAACTCGAGTAATATTCTCTTGAATAATAATACAATAATAATAACATGAATAATACTCTCTGTTAACACTCTCACTAGCATGGCTTTTGGATCCATTCATAAAGATTGTATTTAAACAGCATTTTTTAACTTAATTTTTATTAGTACTCATTTTAGTCTGTGTTTTCATAAACTTCCATGTATTGCGATGACAGTGACATTATAAAGAAAGTAAGAAAGCAAAATAATCAAATTACAAGCTAATATATTATACCAAGGGACAAAACATCTTATGGCCAGATAAAGGCAGTAATGCTACTTGGGGAGTAAGTGGTTTGGCTAGTTGATAAAAATTCATGATATACAATTGAAGAAAATGCAGAGGGTGTTTACTTGTTTTTAGAAAAAAATTCATGAAGAATTTCAGAAAGCTAATGTTTCAGAATAAATATTTCTGTCAACATCTTGTTACAGTAGAATTCCAGACATCCGCAAAGCTTGGGACCAGAGGTTGTGCGGATTTTAGGATTTTGCGGATTTCAGGACAGAAAAGATAAAGCATAATATTCGAACTAAAAGTCCAAAAATCAATAAGGCGTATTAGATACATTTAATTAAATTTTTATTACATATATAAATTGATTATATTATTCATTGTATTATATGTGCACAGCATCGAGGTTTGTCGATTTCCCCTCATGCAAAGATTTCCGGTTTCGGATTCCAGTGTTAGAATCACTGTTGCTGTAAAGTTTCAACAGCTTTTCTTTATTTTTCCATATATCATACACAATCGTTGCAATTCCATACCATTCTGCTATAAATCGAGAAGTAGCACCTGCTTCCATCTTTTGCAGAATTTGCACTTTTTGCATTACTGTCAATGCAACGTGTTTATGTTTTTCAACGTTGCAAGCAGTAAATTCACGAGTGTGTTTCTTATCTGTCGTTGAAAAGGAAAACTGATATGGGTATTGCATATATACCTTTTCAACATATTCCTGCCAAGTCTCCTGATGTTTCACCTATGCACTCTTTTGCCTTTGGTCTCTTGAAAAGTGCTTTTTCTAAATGCAAACTCACCACAGTGGATAGAATGTTTAACTTAGTGGAAAAGGAATGGAAATCAGTACCCTGGGAGATGTCACAAAAAGCCCTTCTATCATTGAAATCATGACACAAACTTATAGTCCAGAAAAAAGGCTATCAAATTGAACATTTAAAAAAAAAACACTCTTCACATTTAAACAGTGATTAAACAGTGCCAAAATCATTCTAAAAATGTGCAAACACCCTCTTTAATTAATATTACATTAATTTTAAACAATTTTAAGGTAGCCTTTTCAGTGTTGCTTCACCTTTAAAATGCAATTTACTTGATTGTTGAGTTGTTTCTGTATCAAAAGTGTAGCTCTATGTTTTATCATTAGTAATAATGCATTTTTTAAGAAGGCCTCATCTTGAGAAAGCATCTCCTGGGTCACTTGAACACATTATTATTTTTTTTTTTTTAATTCAAATGTGATAGAAGCTTTACTTTGAAGGAGCAATTAATGCATATTCACATTGTCAAGTCGAACTTTTCTTTCAGTAATAGATGGCATTCTCTGTATTCTGTGACAGATGTAATGTATCATTATGAAACTTCTCAGTTAGCGACCTCACGTTAAGTCAAACTTTTTTTTTTTTTTCAATAATAGATAGCATTCTCTATATTCTGTGAGAAATGTAGTGTATCATTATGAACTTCTCATTAGCGACCCTTGGTGAGAAACAGACTGTTATGAACACACATGCAGCAAGTGATGATATGTCAAGGGCAGAATAATTTTCAAAATGGCGACTCATTGATAATAATTTGAAGGAGCAGCAGATCAATAAAATTTAAAGTGCAAGAAATAACAATTAAGAAGGGAACAAATAGGAATTAAAACTGACATTTGGTTTGTTTCTCGATTTCCAGGTCATGGTTTATAAAAATTTCTAACGCACTATAAAAACACAAGGTACAGGATCTCAGTACTGTTTCCATACTTCTTGTGACACATAAGTCTTTTGAAAAAGGAGCTAAAAAATGTGACACTTGTTGATTGTAATGCTTTATGCATCACAAATTTTGTGTCAACATTGTAAATCAAGCATTCATATTTTGAAGCAATTAGTCATTCATTCTTACATCATTTAAGGGTACTTCTCGTGACTTAAATTTCTAAATCACTGAAGAAATCTAAAATTCAGTGCCCACTCATATAAATTAAAATTTACCAATGCAGTTGCAGCTGAATGTTAGGATGAAGAGGTAGACTTCACAAGGAGTATACTGTGAGCTTTTTTTCTTTTGGTTAAGAAAAAAAATGCAATAAACTTCAATCAAAAAATTTTTTGTGATTGTTTCATCTTGTGGCAGAAGGAACAGATGATTCTTAACTGAAGGTGTCTGCTAGCTTTATAAGTAGGAAAACATCTGAGCTGAAGAAAAATCTCAAATTCAACTTGAATTATTATCGTGAGATTGTATTAGTGTGATTATTAAATTATTATTGTGAGACAGTGAAATGTAAACAAATTTAGAATTCTGTAAACAAATTTAGAATTCTGTAGTAAAGAATCTAGCAAAATGATTGCCAATAATGATGCAGTATCAGAGAATAAAAGCTAGTCACATTTTGGTCTCACTATTTTGATCGTTTTAAACTTAAGGGCTGCTGTAACTGACAGATATCTTCATAGCTTGCTAATCTTCAAAGACAGACCTTTTCTATTTTCTTTTCAAGAAGAATAATGAAAATTTGTGTCAGAAAGCTGATGCGTTCCTCTCAAAGTAATCTGGTTTCTTTTCTGTGTTTCATCCTAAAAATAGGGAAAATTAAGAAAAACTGTTTGAGCAAACTGTATGCATCAGAGGGTTAGAAATGAATAGAAAGTTAAATAAAATATTGCCCAAAACATGAAATTGCAATCTGAGAGTGTGTTTACAATCTAATACATTAAAAAAAAAAGTATATAATTAAGGTTTATTAAAAACAAAAAATCTGAAAGCTTTCATATTTTATTTTATGCCCAAAGGTTCCCCCCCCCAAAAAAAAACATTACACATACATACAAATTTTGAGAGAATTTGGGCTAAAACTATTTGAAATCAGCATATCTTTAGAATTCCTGATAGACTGTCTCACATGCTGGGGGTAAAAATATTTTATTCTGTACAGTGTGTTGCCACTGCTCACTTTAAAATGTTGAGTTTGAAAAATTCATTAAAGTTTAAAAAATATGAAATAGATAATAAATCAAATTCGAAATTCAAGATTCAGATTCAGATAGACGACTACATTGTTTAAAATTTGATGGCTCTAGGTATTGTTGTTTTTCACAATGCTAGAAGCATACACACATTCTTGCAGATTCTTCATTATTTAATTTCATTAAATATAAGACAGGGCAACAGTATTTGTTGGCAACAATTTGAAAACTGAACAGCTGTTTATAGTGATTTGATACAAAATGCTGTTTTGAGACTTACTGCCCTTCTGGGCTAATAAGAATATCTACTGTTGCCATTGCTTTATCCAAAATCTTTATCATTGAATAAATTTAAAACTGTATTAAAAAGAGTGCAGTGACAGAACATGCTCTCATTCTTGCCTTGAAATGCAAAGATCCTCAAAAGAATGAAAAATTTGTACTTCAAAATTATGTGTAATGAAATTCCATTACAAGAGTAGCATGAATTTTCCAAGCTGCTTTGAAAGTTCCTGATGTACACATGTGAGTGTGGATACTAAATTTATTTTATTCAACTATTCTAACTATTCTAAACTATTCTGCACTGAAAACTGTTGATAAAAAAAAAAAAATCTTGAGCAAAATGATTTTGGGAAGTGATGTTTTGTCATATATATATATATGTGTTTTGTAATAACATAAGATATATTTTAATATAAAGCATGCAATGTAAATTGTAGCAATTTGTAACTCAGTTGCAAGAATAAAGTACAATAATAAATGAACTATTTTCCTATTTTATTCATTTGAAATGTTTAAACAATCTGTATATAATAATAATGTAGTAATTTTTAATATATAGTAGTCTTAATTATTCTTTAGTGTAGTAGAAGTCTTATTTTTCCCCCCTGCAGATTTATGTGTTGCTTGGCAAAATGAGAAGGCTGAAGAAGCTGCGCTTAGAAAATGGAGGAAATGTTAAAGACATCAAATTTGCTGAAGCACTTTCAAAGATGGAAAGGTAAATTAAGAACTTCTATGAATTTTGCATTTGTTATAGAAAAATCTGGCATGCACTTGTTAAATATATCAGTGTATAATTACATAAATTATTGTTAAATATTTGTTCAAATAAACTGTAAATCTGATTTTAAAGCATATATATTTTTCCTTAATGTGCTTATTGGTTATATTAAGAAAATATTTTTTAATAAATTTTTGATTTTATGAATTCATACAGATAACCAAAGAAATTTCATAAATGGGAAGACAGTTTTATAAAAAGTACAGTTGGCTGCCATTTGTTGGAGCATCCCTCCCTCAAGAAAAATCCCTTCTTGTTTGTTGTTTCCTAATCTCAAGAGTTGCTGTCTGCTTTTCTTACTTTTAAGCTAGACATTCATCATGGTTATTTTGTGGCTTCCTTAAGTATGGATCTTAGGATACCTTAGTGCATAATTTCTTGCTCTTTGGTTTATTCTTCTGCATTTATAATCAATGCTTGACTTAAAATTTCGTCATCAAGCACATTGCCTGCACATTTCTCATTTCATAAAGTATTGAAAAATCAGGTCTTCTAAAGCTTGAAAGTAAAATTTCTACAGATTGAGGATGTTCTTGTAATATATCTTTAATTGTAATATATCTAATATATCTTTAATTAAATTCTTGCATGTCAAAATGAGTAGTTAGTTGTTGCCTGGCAAACTTAGTCTGTGAACAGAGAAAGGCATCACACCAAGTATGTCGGTCTTGCAGTACTTTTCAAATTTTTATTCCAGCGGTTCTCAACCAGTTGTACATGTACCACTGATGGTACGCAAAGAAACAAAGTATTTTTAACTATTAAATTAAAAAATCTTGTGAAGAAAAAGAAAAATTGATTGAAATTCCCTGTGATCGAACTCTTAACTGAAGATTTCAAAAATAACACACTTATTAACTTTATGCTGGGGGGGAAAGAATTTAAAGGTATTTCAAAAAAAGCTGTTAAATATTTATTGCCTTTTTATACAGCCTATTTGTGTGAATAAGTACATCCTTCCACGTTTTATTTGAAAAACAAATACAGAACAAAATTTTAAAATTGGATCCTAATTTACAGCTAAGTGAAATAAGACCAGACATAAAGAAATTGATCTCTTTTATACCGGCGCAAATTCCATACTAAATTTTAGAATTAAAGTATTATAACTTAAATTTTGATAATTAAAATTGTAACCAATTTTTAATTTAATATTTTTTTATGTGTGCACATTTAATATAGCCAATAGGTTGTGCAAATGGCAAAATTTATATTTTTTTTAATTATTTCTATTGAGAAATTTAAAAAGAATCATTGTAAAATGTGGTGGTGGTACTAACGTTTTTAAATTTTTGTTTAGATGATATGCATTAGTCAAAAGGTTGACAACCGCTGTTTTATTCTTAATAATCCTTTTCAAAAGTAACTATCTGTATATATTTTCATTTGAAATAGTGCCATTTGAATACTTAACAAGATCTCTAATCCATTAGCAGTAAAACCACTTACATGTAGAAAATTTAACATAGGAACTGCACTTATCCACTATGCAGATAATTTTTCATTTCTAAAAGCTGTTGATCTAACAATGTTAACTACTTTTCATAAATCCTTACCACTCATCCATATATTTGTGTTACATGACAAAAAGAATTTTCTCACGTCCTTGAATTTCTCTTTTTAAAAATTTTTTGATAAATTAAAATGGGAGCTTCTTAGAATGTCTTATTGGCCCCAAATAATACTGTGATTCTTTATTTGGTCTCTTTTCCATTGCTGCATGTATCACTCTACAAATTATTTTTTCCCCATTAAAAACATCTTCCAATAATTTTTCAGATTAGGAATTAGTTTCCATTCATTAACCCTTTGACACGCGGTGGTCGCGCCTTGATAACCACCATTTTCCGAATTTTTTCCCTCCTCTTTTTTTTTTTTTTTTTTTTTTTTTTTTTTTTTTTTTTTTTTTTTTTTTGTTTTTTTTTTTTTTTTTTTTTTTTTTTTTTTTTTTTTTTTTTTTTTTTTTTTTTTTTTTTTTTTTTGTTTTTTTTTTTTTTTTTTTCCGAAATTTTGAGTAAAATGAATTGATTACTGATCTTTACTCGAAACACAAAATGACTGTAGAATCACATATTTTTAGGTATTATATTCAGATTGGATGCGTTTTTAAATTCGTTTTCGATGAGATAAAATAACTCCTTTATTAATATAAACGCTTTAAATTCAAATTAGTCATGCACTTCATGATTCTATCATAAACATAAAAAATTGCAGGTATTAAACTGCACATAAAAACAACCCTGTATATGTATGTCATTTTCTATGTGTTTCACGGCGTGACCATGCGCCCACTAGAGCATTGTGTCACAATGCTTACAATCCCTAGAGGCTCGGTGGTCAGCCTTGAAAGCACTGTGTTTGCTTTCTCAATGCGTCGCTTGCTTTTTTTTCAAATAGGAATGTTTTTATAATTTTTATCCGTATAGAGAAAGGCTTTGAAACCGCAGAGTTAATTTTATTATTAAGCCTACATGCACCTTCCTAGTAAAAGGTCTTTCTTTCCAATACTTTTCTCTGACAGCACAACACTTGCTCCCAAGCTATTATTGTGAATTTTATAAATTATTTCCTGTGGTTTAAAATTTTAATGTAAATACTTTTCTATAATTAAATAGATTGCGTAAAGTTGTTATTAAATTAAAAAATTTTCTGAATCGTTTGGGATAAATACAAATAAAATAAGTATGAATGGAACAACGATCCGTACAAAGCCAAAAAGACCAACCCCCCACTTAACATAAAAAAACCACAAATTTTCATGTGCAATGGAAGAACTAATAATGCTGGACATATACCAGTGATTTTAATCCAGGCAGTGTACATTTTGTAGCACAAGAAAGAAAACAAGATAAAACGAAACGTGTCAGTGGTCTATTATTACCAAAGAGACAAACATGCTTGAACCTGGTCATACAAAAAATTTTTTCCTTTTTGAAAATTAAAACAAAAAAACACTGAGTTCTTTTTTAATCCTTTTTTATTTTTTTTTATTATAATCAAAAATCCAATTCTTTTAAAACTTATTTTAATTTTAAATAATTACAAAAAAATGTAAAAAAATTTTATCACAATTTTACATACATTTTTTTTTAAATCCGAATTTCGTCATTTGTGAACCGCACACGGAAAATGGTCATTTTTTTTTCCCTACTACATCAGTAAGGTTTCAAGTCCCCCCGAGACACGCGTGGTTGCCAGTGCGACCACTTTTTTTTTTTTTTTTTCTTTTTTTTTTTTTTTTTCACAGAACAATGTAAGTTAAAGAGTAGTGCGATGGGTAAGAGTAGATTTTTTTTAATTCATATATTATTTGTCTCTAGGATCATAATATTCAATTTCTAGAGTTTTTAGTTAAAAAAAATTATAAAAATAATATCGCGCGCCTCAAAGGGTTAATGGTAAATGTTTCTAGTCCTGCAGTTTCTCCACCAACTGTGTGAAATTCAGGCTGTGTTGCAACACTGTTTTACAACCAGCCATCCGATCCTTTAAAATGTATTTTGTCAATCTATAAGGTAAATAATCAGCTTGTTCCTCCAGGAAATATAGATCTATAGAATAACACCCTCACTATATAGCAACTAATGTTTTTAAAATAAATTTAATAACATTAAAAACTTTATTTAAAAAATTATTTCAAATTTTAAACCCAAATTATATCTAATCACTAGAAATTCTTTGACAAATGCTGAAGCTTTAGCACATGCCTATCCAACACAAAAGACTTTGTGGGCCATTTTGGAAATGCATTTTTATGTGTGTATATATAGATAGCTAGATGTGTAGATATAGATATGCACTGGTCATCAAAATTAAAGGATAATGACAGAAATTACTTAATGAAAAATTATTAACAGGAATTTGTATAAAAGCATTAGTTAACATAAATTACAATGTTGATTATTAAAAATATATTGAAATTAAAACCAAATTTATGGAAAATGGAGAAAAAAACCAAGTCACCTCTTGTGGAGAAAATTCTTCTTTTATATGGTGTATGGTCACCTCGGGCAGACATGCATACCTCACATCTTAATTTCATAGACTTTTACCAAAGTGCTGATCAAGTCTTGTGGAATTGCACGCCACTGTTCTAAAAGTGCACTTCTCAGCTCCTGTAGGGTCAAGGGAATAATTTGGAATGTGAAATTCAGAGTCGTAAGGCATCCCACACATGCTCAGTCAGTTTCAAGTCGAGTGAGTAAAGTGGCTAGTCTATTTGAGTGATATCTTCTGTTTGCAAATATTCTGACACCACATGTGCTCAATGAGGTTAAGCATTATCATTCATTAACAAAAACTATGGGCCAACAGCTCCAATAAACAGTCTACTTTGGGCTTACAGTACCTCGTCCACGTATCTTCGAGTGGTTACAGAACCTCCTTGAAAGATATGCAGCTTGGTAAGGTCATTTGTCATGATTTCGCCCAAACCATTTAACCAGGTCACGGAAACAGAGTATTTTACGGATAAGGTAAGGCATGTTGCATGTTTCTTAATCTCTCCAGATCAAAATACATCTAAAATCACTGCTTAGACTATATCTCGACTTATCAGTAAGCAATACTTAGGCCTAGTCATTTTGACTCTGTTGAACATTACAACAGCACCAGTTTAATTAGGCTCCTCTGCAAACTGGAGTGAGTGGAAGACACACCATTGGTTCTCTTGCATGCATCTCGTTAAGCCTTCGTGCAGCGTGGCTGATTTGAGTTTCTTATGGCAGCCTGAAGATCTCTTGTAGTCGTTTTGCAGTTTCTGTGAGCCAAAAATGACAGAAAATGGTCTTCTGATGCAGTTTGTTGCTATTGGTTGCCCTTGACCAGGCTGTCTATCAACTAATTCAGTGAATTCAGTGCTTAAAAAGTGGCTCCAAACTCTTGGTATGACACTTTCAGGGATATTCAAATCTTGAGCAACCTCCATTTATGTTTGATCTCTCTCGATTCCACCAATTATTAGCTACTTTTAATCTTCACTTGAACAATAACTTTGAGCCATAACTACTGAATACTGATTATTCTCAGAAACCACATTTACTTCAAAAACATTACAGACCGGAATTCCAACATGCATCCTTTGCACTCATTGGCAGTCACCGAATTATCATATTTCTGGTGCTAAAGTATGCATGGAAATGCAATTTTGCATTCTTTTATATTTAATTAGCATAAATAATTACAGCATTGGTCATTAGTTGCAGCATTAACTTAGTGAGCATATTTCTTCTCATTATTCTTTAATTTTGATGACCAGTGTATGTATAAGTATATATATGTATGTCCTGCCCAATAGGGATGGTGGGTAGTGATTCTGACTGCCATACCTAAGGGCAATCAATTCTGGGCATTCCTCTTTCCATCAACTAAATGACATTAAGAGTTCTCTCGCCCCTCTGAACCAGGCACAAGGGTTCAACCCCTGTCCTCGCACCTTGGAAAGAGAGATGTATTGTTTTCATTGTACTGATCGTTATGATTTGCTGCCTGCCAGTCATACAAGCTTCCCATTGCCCAAGGTCATTACCCAGAATAACTGGGGTGCCATTCCCTGCCAGTACCCAAGATGCCATTCCGTGGCTACTAGAGCCTCGAGCTCTAGGACTTGCCAGACCACCATGCTGACCAATAAGTGATCTTTGTGAGGCTTTAGAACCACTAGGTTCATAATTTGTATACCTCATGGCCCAGACTGCCTAGGTACAGATTCTAGCAAGTGTAGCTTCACAGAGTTCTTTATGTCGACCCGGGGGAAAGGGAGATCAAAGAGCAGGAGTTCGAAGTTCAAATCCTACAGGAGGCATGAATGAATGTTTGCAAATATGTTGTGTCTGTGCAACATGGGGGTCTCTAAATATATGGCAAGCCGAAAGTCCTCTCAAGAGGTTATGGTTGAGGAAAGGGGGTAGAAGACCCTTGGACAAAGCCCCCTACCCCCTGTGTGCTTTCCTTCAAAATTTGGTGGTGGAACTGAGTAAAGTCGTACTGTCACCTGTATGGTGGCCAAGGCTCTTGTCAACAAAAGGTGCAATCTTGCCTCCGTGCTATGATGAATTTCATAAGCTTGTTCTGATATCAGACAAGTGAGATTAGTCACAACATGTATGCATATAAATAAGTATTCACAACGTATGTAGGTATGTGTATAAGAGTTTTTAGTTGAAAATTTAAAAGAGAATACATTATTATTATAGTTTTTTTAATTATTATTCATAAATTAACAATAGAACAGTTAAACATTTATGACTATACATAAATAATTACAACAATAATAATCAATAAAACAACTAAATAACAATATATTTACTATACTCAATATGATACTTGCTTATCTCTTCTTTCACTCAGTTTTATCAAGTCAATCTCAATACTTGTATTTGCACATTAACAGGTGCACTTTTCCTTAGATAAATATATGCATGATTTATGCTTCATGATAAATTTCATTTAAAAAAAAAAAAAGTTTCACAGATATAAGTTTATTTAAAAGCAGTCAGCTTTTCTTGCTGATACTTAACAAGATTAAGTTCCTTGTTACAAATCCATCCCTTTTGCCTCAATACCTTACAATGTGTGTAATAAAAGTAAATTTTCTTTTTTCTCTTGTCAGCTAGCAAGGTTTGGAAAAAAAAAAAAAAATCTGAAATGTTTCAGATTTTAAATTACGTCCAAAGGGGCGTTTTTTAACATTTTGTGTGTTACCTTTCTTTATTAAATATCATGTTCCTCGCACTTAAACCATAAGATCCAGTGCAACAGCAATATCGCAAAATAGTTTTAAAACGAGCATATCTTTAGAATTTCCGATACAGAGACTCACGCGCTGGAGATAAAAATGTTTTTTCTGCACAACGTTGCCATTGCTCGCTTTGAAAATCCTTGAGTTTGTTAATCAAAAATTCGTCAAAGTTTTAAAAATAGGAAATCGATCAAAACAAATTTTCAATTTCAAATTTGGTCTTCCACATGCTCATATTCGTTGGAGGATTACGTTATTCAAAATTCGATGACTCTATGTACCGTTGTTTTATCACAATACGAGAAATATACATACATTTATGCAGATTTTTCATTATTTAATTTCTTCAAATATAATGCAGGACTGTAACATTTTGTGGCAACAGTTTGAAAAGTGAACCGACATTTATGAATCCAACGCAAAATGCCAAAACGAAACTAATAGTCCTTCGGGATTCAAATCCCTTTGGACTAAAAAAAAAAAAAAGTGAGTTCTGGTTTTAATGCTCTTTGGCAAAGAAGCCAACCAGTTACAGAAAATTTTGTCTCCCTCCATATAAATTAACAAATGGAAGCAGTGAATAGAAAATGATAAATTTTATTTAAATTTATAATACTGTTATTGTCATTCTGGACAATATTGTTGTGACAGTGTTATGATTGTTGTACCATTTATACGTTTATTTCTATGAGAAGAGGAAGTTACTTTTGCATGCTTTTTAAATAGATTTTGCATTAATTTATTCCTTTTAATGTACTACAAAATGAATAAATTGCCTATAAAGAGTATTTTACAGTCTATTGCTTCTGTGGATGGTGTTGGAAAATCGAGCTTTCTTCAAATTCTGAGGAGACAATGAGACTAGATAATTTTTTCCAGAAAGGAGAGTAAATTTGAAAGGAGAAGGAAAACAACTTCAAAGTCTGATTGATTTCTATGTGAAATAATGTTAGTAATTCAACAAAAATTAGCAAAGGTATTAAAAGAGATATATTGCCCATTGATGCAACGTAGATGTCTCACTGCTGGTCAAAAGGCAAGAAAGGCTATAAAGAAACAATTTTTGACATATCAAATGAAGCAAAAATGATTATTTTGGGCCAAAAAAATACGAATTTTGGAAAAAGTCATTTTCAGTAATGAGACTCATTTATTTATTTATGGTTATATATCTAGCGTTGTTTGACGAAGCAAGGACGAATCAGTAAAATCTCAAGATATCCAGCAAACAATAAAATAGCCTCAAAAACAAATGTTTTGAGAAATTTTAAAAAGGTAAGACTGTGCCTCTCTCAAAAATCTTTGCATGGACATTTCAACATGACTTGGCTTCATACAACAATTGAAAATATGCTAGAAGGTTCATATTGGAAAATAAAATTATTGGGCTGGATATTAGGCTTCAATCTGATCAAAATTTGTGGAATATTCTCAAAGAACATCTATCTTCGCACAATGGATTGCGTGACAAAAGAGTGCATAATTAAGAATGCTATTCCATAATAATTCCATATGATCTACTATTCCATATGATTCCATAATAAAATAAATAAAAATATATGCACACTACTAGTAGAATCAATGCCTAAATGCATTATAGAGATCTGTGCTAAATGAGGATGTATTTCCCATTTATTTTATGATTATCACTGTATATGAAGGTGTGTTCATAAATTAGCTAACCAGTTGTTTTGTCTCAATTTATTTTCACACTATAGTAGATAATAATATTGTAATTTTAAGCCATAAATGAGAGTGGAAATTAATGGTAGTTTTATGGTGTTTAAATTGCTCCAAAGGTGAACTTTGCCTCACACAGTTGACCAATGTGAAGTTGTTCCTCCCTCCAGTTTGGGAACCTTATTATCTCAAAACAGGAAATTTAAACTTAAAAAGATTTACAGAAACACATACAAAAAATTATAATTCTCTTAGAGATTCCTATTAGAAATTTCAAACTGCCACTCTCTCATAAAATTTCGTAAAATGATTCTTCTACATGTCATATTAACATGCGAAATACAATAAAAAACTTTGAACTTATTTTATTGTCAAGCTTTCTTGGAGTTAAAAGATACATAATATTTTGCTTCATTTATGTATGCTAGAATTTTTAACACATTGAGAACAACATCGTTTTCTGGGGACTGACAGTGAACTTTTCATTTGGCCGACTTCAGTCCTTTGGGACTGACAGTGTATTTGGTCAGTATCAGTCCCAGGGGAATGGCAATGAATTTTCAATTTGGCTGGGCTCATCAGCCTGTAGGGATTGGCAGTATCAATTTTAAAAATTAACTGTAGTAATTTTAACGGAATTTATTAAAACTTATTTTTAAATTATTTATTTTGTATTAGTGTTCTTTTTTTTTTTTTTTTCGGGGGCCACTCATAAAAGGTACAATATTTGGCTGATTGTCTTTTGGATCAAACTAAGTTTCATTGCCGACTCTAATAAATTATCATCTTCCAATAATGATAGCCGTAATACTCGATGATGTCAATGTTTGGATGATGAAAAATAATTCACTCAGCATGTCACTACTTCTCTTTCGAACATTTTTGGTCTTGTGGGCAGTAAATACTTCAGAAACAAACCAAATTTTATATTCTCAAATTGTCTTTTCACTTCCATGCCTTTTTTCTAACTAATTTTGTCTAGAAAGTTACCTTTTTACTATTTGTGTACATGTACATTGGCTGCAGCATTGCACAGTCCAAAAGAAACATGAGAAGGTGAAACAAAGTAGTCCACTGTTCATTCTCCCCAGTGCTCACTCGCTGCCAGCTGAATGGAAAGGACAGCAGTATCAGCGCTCAATGTGTTAAAGATTGTGAATATGTCATGTTAATTTTTCAATTATTTTATAGTTTTGTTTATTTATTTTACTTATTAATTATTATTATTATTATTTTCTTATAGATTAGAACAGTTGGAGTTGATGAATTTTCAAATGCCCAGCTTATATGCAGTTCTCAGTGAGCTACAGCATCTTGAACAGATTAATATTTGGCCTGATAATGCAACTGAGGTTAATAATTTTATGTATTTATTAATGAACTAATTAAATGTGTTGACTACCGTTTATGTATTTTCTGCCACAATCTACTATTTATTAAGTATTATTTAAAATATTTAATTTGCATTATTTGCAATAATTAAATGAAATATAAGCTGAGGTTTATTTCAAGAACAGTTGCTAGTTTTGTTTTCTGAATTTGTTGTGTTGTTCATTATTCCCTTTCGAGTTTCATTTGAGACTTTGAGAAAAATCTGTGATTTTATGCTTTGTACATTTTTATGCAAACAAAATATTACTGCTGTATTTGAATACATACAGTTTTAAATTTGTTTAAATTAAAAAAATGAGAACTACTTATTCGGAAAATTGGCATTTTACAGAAACCAGGAAGTGCTCTGTAGTTAGTTGAAATAGTTATTATTAATAGTCGTATAAGATGAAAAATTAAAATTATATTGCATCTGGTAAAACCAACTATATATTCCCATAATTGGGCAGGTAGCCACTAAAATGTAATAACCACATGCATCATTAATATACTTATGATCCATAAAAGTAAAACTCATGTTAGATATGTATACCTGTTGCTGCCATTTAAACTAATGTATATGTACACTGCGCAAAAAAAAGGGGGGACAGTTCTATATCTCTCATTCCACTGGGCCGATTCACGAAATTCAACTTGCGTTTTTCATGTCTCGAAAGCGTGACTTAGGATATGTATTAGATTTATATGTAGCATTGTTCTTATGTAGGTATTTTGACACAAAATCGGACTTTTTCTGAAATAACATACCAATCTTTTTCCATATTTCAATTCTACGACTCATTATGCTAAACTATCAAGTTTTGTAAAAATCACACGAGTATTTTTTAAAAAACTAGTTCTCAAAATTTTAGCTCCTCAATGTTAACCGAGTTTGGTATACAGTTATTAATCTTCTCTTTTTTTAAGCAACTTATTTGATTTTTCCTTTCATATTTCGATTTAAATTCGGTTCATTCCAAATAAAATTCACACCATTTTTTATGATTTATTTTTTAAAATTTGTATTTTTGAATAATTTTTAAAAATTTTTTGAAAAAACTTTCGTGTTATAATCTGTAAAACTTTTTACTGTCATCTTAACGTAGAACGTATTTCTAAGCATACCTGCAAAAAATTTACAATTTTTTATTCAAAATTTTCGAAGATATATGTGAATTTACATATTGTGCCATTTTGAAATTTGGCATATTTGTTGAAAGCGATAAAACATCAGAATGTGGTATAAGCACTTTGCTAAAAACTATTTGCAAAGTATTAACGAAAGTGATTATTTTTCCGCTCAATGCCACAATGTAAAAAGATAGGAACGAGATGCCTTTTTCCTGCTCTGGCAAATGAAAGGGAAAGGAAAATTGGTTGCCGTATATTAAGAAGTTTTCCAAGTGAATTAATCTTGGCCAAATTTTTCTTGGCGCAAACTGAGAAAAATGCGCCAAGATAAATTTTTGAATTTCCTCCATAAATTTCACACCAAATTTTGCAAAATTTAATGTCTTAGGCATAATATGAGTCTTAGAATCGAAATATGGAAAAAAATTGGCATGTCATTACAGAAAAAGTCTGATTTTGTGTCAAAATGTCTATGAATTGATACAATGCTATATATAAATCTAATATATATCCTAAGTCGTGCTTTCGAGACATGAAAAACACAATTTGAATTTTGCCAATCGGTCCAGTAGAACAGGAGATATAGAACTGGCCCCCCTTTTTTTTTTGCACAGTGTACATTAGTTTAAATAGCAGCAATATTAAGTGAAGCTCAATGTAATGTGATTATGTTCCCCTCTGATTCAGTCATTCCATCCATCAGGTTTCTGATAAGTTTTAAATACCATGTAGAACAAAGGAAGATGCAAAATTGTTATTTAAGTAAGCAAGTTATAGAACTCAAACTTTGACTTGGGAATCTGAAAAAATTAGCAAATCAGAATTCTTTAAACCCTTTAATATGTAGTGCTCTCTAAATAGTGCTTAGAAATTGTCATTATGCATTTCAAATGTTTGTTTTAAGGAAGATAGGTCAACTGTCATATCATCCTTTGAGAGGTGCTTTAATTTGATTTGCATGGGTGATGTAAACACTCAAGTAAATGCTACCCATTGACCATGGTATTAAAGAGTATTGCTAGTAAATACCAGAACAATGAAGCATATTAGCTGTCATGGATATTTAATGGATATAGATTGGCATGTTGAATGTTACTTGCCAGACTCTGTATCCTTATTGCAAAATTTGATAATTTTCAAATCAATGCAAATGCCATGGTCCACTATTTGTTTTTAATTGTTATTATTGAATACTGAGACCTTATTGAAGCAATCTTGGAAAATCTTACCTGTATTGTGATTGTAATCTACCTACATTGTGACTGTAACTGGCCCATTCCCTTTTCAGCATGATATGGTTTCCATGCATCAGGCAAAAGTCATAACTGACTTCTTTGAGAAAAAATGAGTTAATCACTTAACTGGTCATCTTAACTCAACTGAGCATCTTTGAAAATGAGTGCTAATTCAATACTAATGGAATAATGTAACAAAATATGTGCAATCATTTCCAGAAAAGGTCGGAACTACATTGTTCTAATACTATCTGAGCTTCTGATAAACGCATCCCCAAGAGCATCTTGTCATTATTAGCATGGTTTTCTATATACCATGCCCTTCCTTTTAAAGATGTGGGCTGGTCAGTTTATTAATGTTTTGTGTAGTCTTAGCTGTTTGCCAAAATAACATACTTGGATTTTTTGTTAACAGTTTAGTAACCTTGTATATTGGGAAAAATTTTGAAAAGTGTATTAATAAAAGTTCTTAAACTTTTTAGCTATTTCCCAAAATAAGCATCTTTAAATTCCTATGAATAGTCTATTTATATTGGAAAAAATTCTGAGATGCATATCGGTAAAATATTCTCAAATCTTGTAGAAAGCATGATATTGGAAAACTGATTAATAATGTATTATATTGAATAGTTTAGAAATTGATTAATATTGAATTGTGCAAAGATGTAAATATTGACACGAATGTTACTGAAATTCATTACAGTACTTTTTAAGCTAACAGTAAAATTTGTTTCCTCTTTCGAGATAACAGCTGTTAAATCAATAACGAGTAATGTTCGTAAAACAGAGTTTGTAAGGTCCTTAAAAGATCTTAAATTTTTTAGAAACAGTGTTTGGTTGGCACACAGGCAGGACCGGATTTAGAGTTGATGAGATCCTAATATATTTGAAATATGGGGCCCTTTATGAGGGTTTCGAGTCATTTTTTTATAGGGGATATGGCACAACTTTTTTAGAGGGGGCCCTAAGCTATAGCTTGTGCAGCTTATACATAAGTCTGGCACTGCACACAAACATTTTAAAATTATTTCTTTTTATGAAAATGAAGAAATCACATAACATTACATCAAAAACAACTTTTCTTTCTTGAGATATGAATGTTCTTGTGTTATGCTTGATAAATTTAACCACTTATTAACATTTCTGTGATTTTTGTATCCAGTTTTTGATTCTAAGATATGCAGATGTTTCAATTTTAATAAGAATAATAACACATTTTTGTTTTTCCCTATCATATTTTTAAATGAGATTATTTTCCATTTTGACAATTTAGGAATATTTTAATTCTGAAAAATAAACAAAATAATACATGTTATAAAACATAGTTTCTGGAACACTTCTTAGCAAAAGCAGGAAAGCTACTATAGTTTGTTTAAAATGATTTCATTTTTCTTCTTTAATATTTTCTATAAGATCTTTTTCTTGTGTAATTGTTTTACAATATTCAAAGGTGTATCAGCTTTCTGTGTAAAATCCACTTTAACACTTTTCCGATTCCCCCTCTCCCTTTCCGAAAATACGAAAATCGTGTGGCTTTTTGCTCATACAGTGTTGGGAGGCATAGTTTTTCTTTCAAATTTTTAGACCTTACATCTCAGAAAGTTTAATAGGATTTGAAGGCAAGATTTATAGGTCTACAAGTCCATAAAAGTGTAACAAGATGAAGAATGTCTTTTATATTTTTTGAAGAATTTTTGGAAGAAAAGTGGAAACAAAATTATTTGAATTTTCTACTTTTGATACTCTAATTCTTTCTCTTAACAGATTTATCTTTTCTTCTTTTCATTAGACACAAGCAGGGAAAATTTCGCAAACAGTTCTAATCTTGTCAAATGGACAGGTATCTGTAGATGTGTATTAATAAAGAAATTGAAAAATAAGTGCAGCATACAGAGGACTGATGCAAAGCGTTTTACTGCTTGATGCAGTCTCTGTGGGTCCTAAATTCTGCTACCACAAGTTCTAAAATTTTTGCTCCCTGTTCTGCTGTCCAGTGTTGACTTAAATCCAAAAAATTCTGCCATTTCTAAATTTTGTTTCTTGGTGCCTCACTAAATTCTAAAATGTGTGCCACACCAATTCCTGCAGCGATTTTATTTATGTGTCATTTTATTATTTATTCTAAAATTATTAAAGAAATAAGCAATTTCTTCTATACATTCTAAATATATGCGATTTTCAGTTAAATGTAAAAATTTTAAAAGGAAGAAAAGAAAATTGATTGCAAAAAGAGAAAGAAATTTGTTCTTCAAATATGTATTGTATAAGCAGTAATAAATTAGGAGATGAAGCAGAAACTAATGGGAATATTGCATTGTTTATTGAGACAAAGAAATTTAGAAAAGGTGTTTAAAGAAGGAAATTGCTATAAATTAGCCAAAATATTTGAAAAATTTTCAAATTAAAAAGTGCATAAATATATTTTGCATGTTATTGCTACAAAGTGTACATACATATTTTTTAGCTTTTAATGTATAACTATCCTAATATCATTTTAGAATCAGTGTCATAAATTATATGTATAATTTATGACACTGATTCTAAAATGATAACAGATAAATTATGCATTATATGTATAAATTTATCTGTTATTTTAAATTGTAAAATGTTCTTAGATTGCAATTTTAATAGTGCTTTTCTTAATGAATATTTTTTAAAATAAAAATGACTTAAGGTGTTTAACTATTAAATTTGATTATTTGTAACTAACTGCTCACCTTCTCTCTATATGAAGCACTACTACTTTCAAACTTACTAATTGTGCCAACATCTGGTACTTGAATCTTTTCTGATCAGCAGTTCTCTTTCTGTAGTCAAGCAAAAGCTGTGGTAACAACTTCTGTTACAAATCATGCTGGTTATGGTTTTACTTCTCATTTTAATCTAAGCTGCCAGACATAAAATCTGCATAAACCTCTGGACTGATCAAGTACATGAAGAAATGAAGCTTAAAAGAAAGCTTGCTTGATAAAATTTACAAAGTTGATTTTATTCTCAAATTTGTTATGTAACTTTGTTCAATATTACATTATGTTTAAGAATAATGGATTTTACTTAGAGATCTGTTTAATTCTTAGAATGGTATTACAAAAGTGAAATGTAGGTGTAGATAATTGCTTTAATTTATTCAATTCCCATTTGCTGATAGACCCTAATTCTTTTTCCCCATCAATGGTCTTTAAAGTGTTTTATTTCTGCAGAAATGAGTATAAACCCTGTAATAAATCTAATTTCCACTTTTAAATTGCTGCTAATTTATTACCTACTGCTAAATTTTTTTAATTTCATGAATTGGACATCAGTTAGAATAGTAAATAATGGATAATATTTTATGTAGTACTTAACAGCATATCGCATATTCGACAATATACCTAAAAAAATTCTCAGATTTGATAAAAATTGAGACTTCACAGACTCATGCACACAACATTTGCTTTTTCTGTACCCATAAATATTAAATTTTATCTTTAAAACTTTATATAATTGCTATAGGTAAATTTAGATTTTTATTTAAATGTGGCATTATATCAAAGCTGCCAAACTAATCTAAGAAACAGGAAGGTTTTCACGCTGTACCAATGAAAGAATGCCAAATTGACTTAAATTCACTTTATAATCCATGATTTGGGTTACAGGGCTATTTACAATGTGATTCTGTTGTAAAATATATTAATATTTAATTAATCAATTATAGACAAAATAGTAAATAATTTAGAACCTAATTCACAAAGACACGAAAGAAATGAAAATCAAAACCAGTAATCAAATGATCAGACAGGGTTCGTAGCAGTCCTTACAAGTGCGTATAAGTCCTTATATTTGAAAATAAAATATAAAGGCCCTTATAGGTGCTTACTTTTTCTTTAAAGCCCTTATTTTTTTGTTTTTAGTGCTTATTTTTTGCTTTTAGTGCTTTTTTTAATGAACACGTATTTTTCCCCAGTACCAAACCGAAACTAAATAAACAACTTTTCTTCCTTATATGGAATGTCAGATAGTGAATCATACTCCCGGAATAGCTTTTCCCCCCTTTCTCTGCATTAACGTAACCTATGGTAACCTATGGTGCGTGCGATAGTACAGACAGGTGCACTATTGGTCAAAGAATTGCGAAAACCGTAAAACATTCCGGTATATTCTTTTCCTCCCACCCAAATACTACACCCGTTTGAATTTCTATCAAGATTTTAATAATTTGCATTCTCGTTCCGCGTGGTCAGTTCATATTCGTGTTTATTATGATCGTTGTGCTTATATTATGAGTATATGTATGAATATTTATAATAATATAATTGCAGTAACTGCTGAAGTATAGATAAACTTCCAAAAAGTGCGTTTTTACACAGATTACAGATTAGGTTTCTAAGGAATAATATTCAGAATGGCTTAAATAAACAAAAAGTAATCGAATAGTCAAAAAAAAAATTTTTTTTTCCCCCTTTCACCGCAAAATCTCTAATCTTGAAGCTGCGGACTTTTTTTTTTTTTTTTTTTGGTCACTGTCCAATCTGGATTGAATAGGATTAAAAGTTTTTGCATTCTACCCAACCCAAGCGAAGAATGATTCTATTTCGGAAATTTAATGCAGTCCGTTCAAAATTAGAATCAAAAACACACCAGATTAGTAAGTCTCTTTCTTTTCCTTTATTTAGTTCTGTATTATCCAAATACCGGTAGCTGTTGATTCCGATTGCGTAATATCGCCTATGGAAGAATTACGCCGCACATATTGCGCAATAATGTTTGCGGTATTTTGCAGAGATAATTAATTTTGATGTTCAGTCTGAGATTTATTTATGAACACTTAAAATAGTTTTACTGTGCTTTCTAAGCAGAATATTTCTCAGTTCCGTTGGTCTATTTTTATATGATGCACATATCGAAATGTCAAAATCATTTATTTAGCTGAGAAATCTAAAGAACGGCTACAATCTCCCCCCCTTCTTCTTTTTCCAGTTACGCTCGACTATACAGAATATGCGGCAATTTCTGAGTATGCAGCTTAGTTACGCTTTTACTGTTAAAGGATGACTGCATGAAGCAATTTCCCGGCTCCTGATTTCAGAAATGTTCCTCTTTTTTACTTAAATTACTTTGCTTGGAATATATGTTAAGGGAAAACTGTTATGCAATGAAAATTTAGAAAATGTTCAGACTTTTGATTTAAATTATTTAAATATTAATATGAGTGGAAAAATGTATTTATTATTAGGTGCCAAGCAAATACAATTAATGACTTATTATTATTTATTTTCTATATTTTGAACTGAAATTTCATCATTAAATCTTGTAATACAGTTTAGTTCTGCATAGTTTTTTTTTCTTTCATTGTAAACTATTGAACTTAAAATTAAAATTAAAAAAAAAAAAAAAAAAGTTAATTGTTTTCCATGGTTGAGGTAATGCTCATTCTCTTAATAAATATTGCATTGCTCATATTTTAATTTACGAGTCTAATTTTTCTTTTAAGGTTATGCAGTTGTGTATAATGTAATTAGACAGGTTCTTATTTTTTTTCTTAAAATGTGCTTGAAAAGTGCTTATAGGTGTTTATTTTTTAAACTTAAATGTGGCTACGAACCCTGTCAGATAATGAAAATCAAAACCTTTTTATTGGAAAAATTTGGGATTTTATTGGTTTTGATTTTCATTTATTTCATGTCTTTGTGAATTAGGTTCTAAATTTCTTACTATTTGGTCTATAATTAATTGATTTTTCAGCAGCATTTTGAACAGAAATAATACTGGGAAAGTTTTGTTTTAAAAATTTTTATAAGACTTTAATTAGATATTCTAAATGTTATATGCCCACCAATGGCCGAACTGTAAAGTCGCTGACCGCTGTTATTTTGGATCTCATTAAATGGGTAGGCTACATGAATGTTTTCCCTATGTGTAACATGAATGTAAGACTGTTTTCCTTTAGAAAGTCCTCTACCAAGGCATGCCTTCCCTCATATAAATAGCTCTCACATACTTTGCCATTAAATGCTTTATCTTTGGCTAATTTCATTTTGTAATTTTGTTAAACTTTAATATTAACAAAAACCTGAGTAGGAAAAAACTTCTATTTATCAAAGTTTTTAAACATGATGAAAATAAAATTAATAACTAACCGCAAATTTAAAATACCATGTCATGTGCAAACAACTGCAGCACAAAACAAAACAATCTTCACTTCATATTGGTTAGGTTTTAGGCCCTTTCATTTCAACTTGAGCAATTTATGTGAATTCGATTCTTCCCCACCTAGTCTTATGTAGTCATATCACATATTTAGGTTTGCCCTGTAGCTTGATCTGCAGAACAGTGTTGCATCTCTAAAGCCGAAATAAGGAGCTAAAATTAAAGAACGGAAGATGTGGTTAAAAATTGGGAACCTGAAGAACTGACAGCTATATTATATCTATTTTGTTATATCTGTTTTTAATAGCTATGCTATGCTTGTATTTGCTTGACTACTATAAGTAACTGTTGTGCATTGTATTAATTTTCTATAACCCAAATATTTATTTATGGTAATTTTTTATGTGCATTATACAATTAATTTAAAAATGGTCTTGAAATTTTATTGCAGGGTCCACTGGTTAATTATAACTCATATGAAGCTATATCAAGATGTAAAAATCTCAAGTATATTTGTTGGGGTATAATAGCTGAAGGAGATACAATTCCAGAAATATTAGAACTTAAAGCCAGTGCATCAGAAAATGAAATTAAAAAACTTACATATAAACAACTGTTTCAAAAATTAGTCGAACTATTTCCCAAAATTAAAGTTGAAGTAAAATGTGTTCCTAGGGAATTATGGAGAGAATTTTGCAGTACTCGTAAATGAAGACATTTCAGAAGGATTTTTGTAAATTCCTCAGTTACGGAAATTAGCAATGATGTTTCATTTTGTGGAATTTTTGAAACGTATGTATTAAACATACCCAGATGGTCAGCTTGCAAATTTTCTTTGATTCTTAATGCTTGCATGTGAAAAGCATTAACTTTTTTTTCATTCCATTTAACAATGTAAAAAGTTGTTTTAAAAATTTCAGTTTTGTTTTTGTGTTATTTTAAATATTAAATTTGAAATTATTCCTTTTAAACATGTAAAATAAATGTATTTACATGTTTTAACTACATAGTATTTTAATTGTATGGATTATTAATTATTTTACCATGATGAGACTACAAAGTTTGTTTTCCCTCAGATGAATATTTTCATATGTTTCAGTATATCAACATAGTCCTATATATTTAACCTAATTCATATACTCCTATATATTCAAAACTTCTGAAAATATAGTTTTATATTTACATTGTACAGCAATTTGATTTATACAATCTTTTTTATGTGAAAAGATGCAAATGTGCACAATGAATGATGAGAGATGATGCAAAAGAATCACCTGAATTAATAACATATTTTATGTTTAATTCAAAAAAAATCCCAATGTAAATCTTCTAGGCATTAAGATATTTATAAACTAAGTTCAATCTTTTTATTAGATATATGTCACTAAGTTAACTGTGTAGTTGCACTTATTGAAGAGCACAATTTTATAAAAATGAAAATGTATATGTTTTAGAAAGAATGTAAGAGGCATTCTCATGGTTGAGAACAAACTGTGTTATAGCTCCTGTAAATTGTAAATATTTTTATCAATATTTGTATTTCTGTAAATATATTGTGGTCTTAATGCTTGTTAACTTTTTTTTAGAGATATCTTAACTGTATTTCAAATACTGAAATAATCACTATGCTGTTAACATAATGCATATGTTCAGTGAATTTTTTGTGGAACTATTAAAAAATCAAAATGCAAAATATATTTATATTAAAAATGAGTACAACATATTTCTGTTGCAGTAGCTCTCCTAAAATATCTTCAGTTTATAACAAAGAATTTCTAAAAAATCCTTGTATTAAGCAAGTTTCTCAGTATTTTATTTTAATAGTGTACTATTTAAAAAAACATACAAGGTATTGTAAATAAATATTAGACATGTACATTAATAAAAAGCATTATTTTTTACTTTATTTTATTGTGGTTGATATTTATAATTGACAATAATGATACCAACATCAGTAACTATTTATTCATTATTTCAAATATACATTTCATTATGTTGCATTGTTTAATTTAATCCTTCTAAGAAAAGAATTCTTACAGAATTTTTTCTACCTTCTGTAAATACGACAAGTTTATGCAGAATTTTATGCTTTTCCCCTTCTAGTATTCAAACATGACACTTTTAAAGATATTTAGAATATTCCGAAAAATGTATCCAACTTTATTCAGCAGTATAGAATGTGCTTTAAAAAAAAGCTCTGAAATATAAACAGGAACAAAGGTGCTTCCAAATATAGAAAATATACTACACCTATATATATATATATATATATATATATATAAAGCATAGAAATACCTGCACATATATAAAAATTTTATTTTAAAAAACCAATTTAAAGTGTTTCAATGGGAAAATTTAAAAAGAAGAAGAAGCTGTATACCATTTGATATTTTTAAATACTGGCAGACAAGTACTCTTAACCAGATAACTAGAAATATTACATTTGACTCATCAACAAAATTTTCAGGCTGATAATACAGCTTATGGTGATGATAAAAAATGCTGTTACATTGGAAAATAATAAATTTATAATAATACATCAGGTTACCAATGACTGGAATTTTATAGAAGAATCTTAAATTTCTCTAGTGAATATTTAAAGCTTCATATTTTAAGTTAATAATAATATGTTCTGAAAATGAAACCTATTAACCCAAGACATAAAAGCAGCTTTACTTTTAGAGGACCCAAGCAAAAACAGGATTTTTCCTGTTACGTAGAATGAACAACCACAGTTTGGCAAAACAAAAAGTTAAAGTTTACATGCGTCTAACAACAACAAAAATCTGTGCCTCGGAAATATATGCTGCAGAACTCTATATAGCACGATTCTGAATTTAATAGATTATTGCAAAGCACACTATGACTGACTGCCTAAGGAAAGATAGGCCTTCATGGATGTCTTTCTAAAAGAAACTGGCTTGTATTCATGTTATACAAGAGAAAAAGCCCGAGAATGGCCCCATGCACCTAGACAGTTTCTCAAGATTTGAACCAAGTTGAAGTTCAGGTGCCTTATGCATTTCAGTGCTAGTGGGCCATCTAGTCCTCAGCCAGTAATGACTGTTAAAGAAGTACTAAAAAATTATTCTTTCACAAAGCATTGATCAGTAGTTTAACTAACAGCATTTAGATTCATAACAAAACATATTTCAGATAAGTTCAATGGAAAAATATCGTGGTCACTCTACATAGGAATATACAATTTAAAACATAAAATTCAAGAAACACTTTTATCTCTCTAGACAAGGGCTTCTTAAATTTTTTTCAGTCGTGGCTCCTTTTTATCGAGATTTTTTTCGCAACCCCATAATATTTAAAAAAAATTTGTGGAACCGTCTATGCATTGCGCAAATCCAACACACACGTGAGTGAAACTGTCAATTTTTTCACTTGTACTTAATATACTGTAATTTTACATCATTAACTTTAATTTCTAATTTTAAGGCATAGAATACATAAATTAATGTGAAAATTTTAAATAAGTAGCAGACAAAATGACAATGCCACATGCAAAGCAAGTAAAATGACTGTTTATGTTATAAAAAGAATGTGTCAAAACTTTTTTATGTTGTTGTTATCTGTATTGTCTTATCTTTATCTATTTTCAGATACATTGTGCAAAAAATATTTGGTAATTGTAAAATTATTATAATAAGTTAAAGAAATAACAAAATTGCTAAAATTTTTGGTGATCCTCAGTTTAAGAAACTGCTCTAGATAATGAAAATAAATAAATAAAATGTATTTAAAGATATCTTGACTTGTATTATACTTTAGTAAATTTATTAACATAGTTTTGCTGTTATATTTCAAGATTTAGAATCAAAATATTCTTTATAAAAGATTAATTTCCTAACCAGTCTAAATGAAAACTATAGTAATAAACTTAGCAAACATTATATTCTGTATTTTTCATGTATTAATTATTTTGTATATATTTCTTAAATATATATATATATCTAAGGTGTCCCATGAAAAGTGCAATGTCATATGCAGAGTTGTCAAATCTCCCGATTTTCGACTGCTCTCCTGCCAACCCGATTTACAATAAATTTCTCCCGACTTTTTCTTATTTTTAAAATTTCTCACGATTTTTATGGAACTTGGCTTAATACTTCTTTATATGAACAAAAAAAAAAGTGATTTTGGACATCTGAAAGCAATTGAATTTTCTCTAGATTATATCTAAAATAAAACCTTGCGAATCAGACGTGAACTTTTGCTTTCAGGTTTCGTACAGTCCTTAAGAGTCCTTAGATTTTTTGGAATCGATTTTTGGCCCTTAAAAGTCCTTAATTTTGGTCAAAATCAACAGAAGGTCTTTAATTTCAATCATCTGAAATTTCTGTCTGTTTTTACGACTGTCATATTGAGTGTGAATTAGCATTTTGAGGAATAGTTTTGGCGATTTACTGCCGTATATACGGTAATCTTTTGAATTGGTTCATGAGTTATAATTTGTTTCTATTTCTAATATAAATGATGGGATACTCGAGTTTCTAAGCAAGAAGTGAAACATAAGCATTTCGAAATTCATTTTTTCTAGTAAAGAGCTCTTAAAACAACTTTTTGCTTTTGGGGATGTGAATTCTTTTATTAAACGGTTCTAAATTTGGTGACTTATCAACATTTTGGTGATTTTAAGATTAGTTTCTATAGAAACTTTTTAATTCCAAAATCTGAGAATTTTTCGACGATTTTTTTTTAAAACATGGTAACATTGATACATTTTATTAAAATAATGGTAGTATAATGAAATTATTTATTTTTCGCTGTCATATTATAAAGTTTCATTTTGGCAACTTGTACAATATTTTAAATCTGAAAAATAAACAAGGTATAATGCTATATAGCACAATTTACAAAACGGCTCTTAGCAAAAGCAAAATTAGCTATGTAATTAATTAAAAATGTCTTGTTTTTAATTTTTTCATAGTAAGAGTTTTTCCCTTGTAATTGTCTCATAATATTCAAAATTTTCAGAATGTGCATCAGTTTTCTCTATAAAATTAGTTTTATACTTTTTCCCTCCTACTTTTTTCCAAAATATTTCTGGCTTTTTTTCTGTTACAGAAATGGTAGGGATAATTTTTCTTTAGGAGTTTAGACATTGCAGCTTGGAAAGTTTAGAAGGATTTGAAGACAAGATTTATAGATCCACGATTCGAGAAATATGTTACAAAATGAAAAATATCTCCATGGTATCAACACGTAGAGGATGTATTTTAGAGAAAGTTTGCAATGAATTTCTTAATTTTGGGAGAACATCTGGAAGAACAATGAAAACATAATATTTGAATGCATTACTTCTGATACTAGAATCTTAACATGTTTATCTTCTCTTTATTTTTCTCTACTTTTCACTAGACAGAAGCATGGAAAATATCAAAAATGCTTCTGATCTTATCACATGGGCAGGCATTATAGAAAGTGATTTTTTTTAGTAATAAAGAAATTGAAAACTTAAGTTTAAAAGATTCATCTAATATTTCTTAATGCATCATACACATAGCTGGCAATAGGCATTTTCCCACCTGATGCAATTTCTGTGGATCCTAAATTCTGCTTCCAGTGCTTGCTTTAAATTCTAAAAGTTTTGCCATTTCTAGATTTTGTTGTTCGGTGTCACTCAATTCTAGAAATTCTGCCACATCAGCTCTGTAACCGTCCTTACTATATATATTTCATATTGCTTCTGAATGTTCATATTACTAAAGAAATAAAATTAGCCGTTTCTTCTGTACTTTCTAAATGCCTTTAGTGTTTTTAGAATAACGGAAATCCTTAATTAAATCCAAAAATTCTAAAATGAAAAGGAAACGTGTTGAAGAAAGAAACTGAGTACATAAAGGAAATTATTCTTCAAAGATATGTGCAGCTATTATTATGTTAATTACCCAATTGTTTGATTTCAACCTTTACTACAATTTCCCATTTCTATTTCCTCATATGATAAGAGTTATTGAGCCAGATTAAATTACAATTAAATTGTATAATCTTTGACCACTAGTCCAAATTATTAGTTTGAATTTGACTGTTCTAGTTTAATTGCGTCACTGTGAGCTATAATTGACTTTGTTAGCATCAGAACATGCCTTTATGTTCTAAGATCTTTTTAAATAAGAGGCTTATTTAAACCTTTGTCTGATATTGTAGTTAATTTCAGACTTAGTGATAATATGCTTCATGTCTGTTGGGGGTTTTCAATTAAACCCTCATAGGTACATTATGCAGAGGTTGATAAGTTAGGAGATGAAGCACGCAGAAACTAGTGAGAGCATTGGTTTGCATATTGAGACAAATCTCTAATTGTTAGAAAAGATGCTTAAAAGAGAAGGAAATCAATATAAACGTTCAAATATGACCAACTATCATAAGTGCAAAATATTTAATGCTACTTGATAAATTGCATAGTTTATTTTATTCTTAAACTTATTAACAATTATGTTAATTAATTCATGTTTAGTAATAATGTGTACTACTTAGGGATCTATTTTATTTTTAGGACTGTATTACAAAAGTGAAATTCAGGCATAGATAATATTTTCAATTGAATTTATTCAGTTCCCGTTTGCTCATAGGTCCTTAATTTTTTTTCATTAATGGTCCTTAAAAGTACTTAATTTCCATGTGCAGAAATGTGTACCAACCCTGGCTTTGTGAGTGACTTGACTTGTGTCGAATGGAAACAGAGTGACAGCGCACGTTTACTCTGCACCAGATAAAATAATGTCTGGGACAACATAAGGATGATAAGAAGAATCGAGATGATAAAATGGGATATTTCAACTTAGCTGCTATCAGTCGACGAAGAAAGATATAATGAATGAAAATAGACAAGCAATGTGAAAAAAAGTTGGATCAGTAAGGTAGTAAGTACTTCAAATAATTAACAAAATGTTA